TCTCGGCGCCTGACCTTATCCGACCTGCAGTCATCTCGACGCAACCGGGAGACGCAGAGCCCCAGGCATCAACGTCCGAACAGCCTTCGAAGAAGCGGAAACGAAAAGACGGTTCGGCAAAATCGACGTCCGCGCCAGAATATGGCGTGTCGCGCGGTGTTGACTTTGTCGATGTGGCATGTGTCGTCAACTTTGACTTGCCATTCTCGTCTAGATCGTACACTCACCGCGTCGGCCGAACAGCTCGCGCCGGACGAACGGGCACGGCCTTGTCGTTCATCGTACCGCGAGATCTGTGGGGCAAGAAGAAGCAATTTGACGTCTCGCTCGAGACTGCAAAGAGAGACGAGACGGTATGGGCGCGGATTGAAAAGGCGCAGCGAGCGAGAGGATGCGAATTGAAAGAGTACAAGTTTGACATGAAGCAGGTTGAGGGATTCAGGTACAGAATGGAAGACGGACTGAGGTCCGTGACAAAGGCGTCTGTGAAAGAAGCGCGAATCAAAGAGATCAAAAATGAGGTGCTCAATTCAGAGAAGCTCAAGGTGCGTCTGCTCCGAGAGGTTTCAGGTGTGTGACATCTGACAGACTGATTTTGCTCATCACGCGCCAGGCTCACTTTGAAGACAATCCTCGCGATTTGGCGTTCCTGCGACATGACAAGCCTCTGCATCCGTCTCGTGTGCAAGCACACCTGAAGCACGTCCCGAATTATCTGATGCCTCGCATCGCTGCCGTTGGTGGTGCTTCCGCTGCAGATGGCACGTCCGATCCGAGCTCTACCAACGGTAGCAAGGACGCCAGCGTGTCGAATGTACCGTTCCACAAACCGAATCGAGGAGGCAAGGCTCGTGGTGGCAAGGCCGGACGAGGTGGTCGTGAGCGAGGGAGTGCGGGGATGAAGCGGCGAGTCGATCCTTTGAAAGGCGGTGCAGTGTCTTTCGGCAAGAGTAAAAAGTAGATCGAGCCTCGTGCTTGTTGCAAGTGCCCGGTCTGGCTTGATATCATTGCGCTCGGGCCTCTAATCGGAAACCGCTGCGAATCTCTCGAACGTTGGGCTCGGCGTCAGTCCACTCGTCCGCAACGATGGCCGAGCAAGTGGCCAAGCAGGCTAAGGAGGCGTTTGATGCGTCTCAACTGCTTCCTGCAAGCGAGAGGCGGCGTGCGCTGCTCACCATCAGAGACGCACTCGTCGAGTCAAAGCCCGCCATTCTCGCCGCCAACGCACAAGACATGGAGGTGCGGCGCGCTGATCATACTGTTTCCACCCGCTCGAGTGATGTGCCGGCTGACTGGCTTCATGGGGATGGGCACGCAGGCGGCACGCGAGCAGGTCGCGGCCGGCACAATGTCATCGTCTTTGTTGAAGCGCCTGGACCTCCAGTCTTCCGCAGACAAGTACGACAGCATGCTCCAAGGTATTCTCGACGTCGACCGACTCGACGATCCGACAGGCAAAGTCACTTACGCAAAGAAGCTCGACGACGGCCTCGAGTTGCACCGCGTCACGTGCCCGATTGGCGTCTTGCTCGTCATCTTCGAGGCCAGGCCAGAAGTCATTGTCAACATTTCCGCCCTTGCCATCAAGTCAGGTGAGCGAGCCGACCCTTTTTGGCTTGGGTCCTTCAACGCCACTCAACTTTCAAACTCGTTCAGGCAACGCTGCCATTCTCAAGGGCGGCAAAGAGTCTTTGCACACACAGAAAATCATGTCGAAAGTCATTCAAAACGCTCTTGCGCAGACGTCACTGCCGCGCGCGTACATCCAGACCGTATCGCTCAGGTCCGAGATTGCCGCGTTGCTCGATCAAGACAGGTACATTGACTTGGTCATTCCGCGAGGGAGCAACTCGCTCGTGAGAAGTATTCAAAACGGAACGAGGATACCCGTCATGGGACACGCTGACGGAATTTGCGCCGTGTACGTTGACGAGAGCGCAAATGAGCAAAAGGCGATCAAGGTCGTATTGGATTCCAAGGTGAATGGCGGGCATACGGCATCGTTTCACCTGGCTGACATCGCCGCGGGCAGACGACGTACACTGCCGCGTGCAACTCTGCCGAGACGTTGCTCATTCACGAATCTCTGCTGCCGACCCTGTGGCCGAAGCTCGCCGCAGCGCTGCTTTCTGCTTCAATCACCTTGCGGTGTTGTCCGACATCTCTTGCAGCCCTGCCTCAATCGCCGTCGATCCCGTCAGTCTTGCCCAATGGCGAGTCACAAATCGTGCCTGCGAGCGAGCAAGATTACGACACCGAGTTTCTCGATTTGATTCTCGCCGTCAAGACCGTCCCGTCCTTGTCCGAGGCCATCTCTCACATCAACAATCACTCGTCTCACCACACGGATAGCATTGTTACCGAGAACGAACTGAACGCGACAAGTTTCTGTCGTGGCATAGACAGTGCTGGCGTCTACGTCAATGCGAGCACGAGGTTTGCAGATGGATTCAGGTATGGGTTCGGGACAGAAGTTGGAGTGAGCACGGGCAAGACTCATGCTAGGGGACCTGTCGGACTGGAAGGGGTGCGTTCGCCCAGCTCTGCCTTAAGAGCGTAGCTAACTCTTGGTATTCGGGACAGCTCGTCATTTACAAGTATATCGTCAAGAGCACGAGTCCGGAAGGCCATGGCACTGCCGAATTTGGCGCAGGGCAAGGGTTGAAGCCGTATTTGCACTCGGATTTGCCGTTAGACAAGTCGCCGATATAAAATGTGAATAATGCACATGTTCTAGTCGTCGAAACACCGTCTGTACTCTTGACTCGCCCTCGCAACGCTTTCCTCTAGCGATTCGATAAAGTCTTTAAGCAGGCACATTTCTTGACCGGAACATTTGCCTTGTAGCGATTGAGCAGCATCGTTGATCAATGTTCGAACATACGTCGTTGTCCTGCTGTTGATCTCATCTGTGCATTCGATTCGCTCGACGACCAGCCGCGCCGCAAACGATACGATTTTAGACACGACAAACTGACGATCCGGATTTGGTTTCGTAGGGCTGAGCGGAGCGTCGTCGTTGAACAAGCCCAGCAAAGTCATGATAGGTAAAAGCTGATTGTCATGCGAAAAGCTGCAATCAGGATTGTCAAGCCTGCTTAGAATCGCTTGCGCAACCGAGCTTACTCGACGTTGAGCATTCTGTCAAGAGGGAACGTTCGCGGATCTCGATCGAGAGTTTGGTTGACCTGGGTCGTGTCATTTGTCACGAAGGACAAATTACCCGTCAAGCGCGAAAGCAGTTCCTGTACAGCGAGCTTGAGCATATTGCTTGCCCTGAGACACAATCCTTACATTCACGTAACCGACGCCTTGTGCGCGTGACAATGGATTGCCATATGAAAAACCATAATACTTCCCAAGGTCTCCGTGGTACCTAGGACCGGACAGGTCAGCTACCGTCGTCCGTTGCTCGAGCAAAACCAACTCTATCTGCCGCCACTCGTCATCCGTATACAATTGGCAGAACGGACTTTGCGTTTCGAAGGCAAGTGTCTCGAACGCGCACAAGTGGGCCATATTGACGATGTCTTGCGCGATGAGGCCGATCTGTGGCGACTGGTCATCGAGCTGTCTCGCAATAGGTGTCGCGAATCGCTCAAGCCAGACGCCTTGGGGCGCAGTGTTGATTCTACTGTACGGGCAATACTATTTGCTGCGTGTGAGGCATGCACGGAGAATAGACGATAGCTACTAACGTTGTGCAAAGGGTTGAGCGAGCCAGCGGCTTCACTGATTGCCACGACGCCAGGATCTGCTTGGTCCGCTAGTCTGGCAAACGTCCCGGCCCATTGACGAGCCGAATCAATCACTCTGATCATCAGTTGTCAGCCTTTGCCTTATATATTCCAGGGCACGAGCGTGCCTTTTCGATTTCTGTACGTCGCGAGTCAGCAGTGGAAGGGCAACGGGGACTTGAGACCGACAGAGGCTCTAATGAATGGCGTGGAGCAATTTGCTTGACAGTATCTCCCGTGAGTCTCGGTCGCCGCCACTCGAGCTCTGTCCATGTCAGATCGAAAGACGAACTGGGCCGACGATATAGCTCACTCGTGCTCTCCGTATGGTACCAAGTCGTCAATGCCGAGCTTGTAATTCCAGTCGTCAAGAAACGCCCAAATGTCGCGAGATTGGTTGCTCAAGAGAATCTGCCGATTCGACTGCACTCGAGCTCGACCTCGCTCGCGCGTTTTGCGGTACTTCACAAGCTTTTCTACAGTCACACCCAACTCGATGGCAGCTCCGAGCGTCGGGAAACGCGCCCCGTGGCGCTGAAGAATGTTGGCCTGCGCCACAGATCTCTTCAGTCGGCTTGCAAGCCTGTGTGAGGTTATCAGACTCACTTGAGTGACACGGCAATGGCAAGCCGGCCGCGTATAGGCATCTGCAGCCGAGTACGGCGCGCTGGACGAGCCGAGTTGGGCCCCACATGAGCTCTTCGGGCACAAGACGGGCAGACCCAGCTCACTACTGGGCGGATGATTGCAAATAGCTCGATAGACTGTCGTAAGACGGCGTGAATGCTCTTGCACGGGTTGCTAAGATTACCAGTGCGCACGTGCACCAGCTAGCGATTCGGTCGGTAGGATCGTGCATCCTGTGCGCACCGGATGACTCCGACGGGTATCTCAGCTGTGTATGTGGCTGTAAAAAGACGGATCCTAGGGTCAAATTATGCTAATGCTGGGCATGAATCGTGTCAGACGAAGTCGATGCTCGAACTTCACCCACACGTTCGTCTCGCGGGGTTAAGGCTCTTTTGTAAGCGATAGCACGGGTTTGTCAAGTCGCCGAGCAATGCCTGCCTTTCTTCACACTAAACGCTCTGTTTTAAGCTAGGCAAGCCGAGTCTCTAACCAAAAAAAAAAAACCCACATATAAGGCGCATACGACTGTCCAGCTTGGCCATAGAATACAGGACTAGATAGGTAGATTTGCTTCTCTTCATACGTGTGGAATAAAAAGCGATGTAGAGTGCCGTGGCAACAAAAAAAAAGAATCGACCAGAGCAGGATTTGAACCTACGCCCTCATAGAGGAACAGATATCGTATTAATTCAAGTCTGTCGCGATAACCACTCCGCCATCTGGCCCACGATGGCTGCGCTTTCAAAAAATATATAAACCTCAATTTTTTGGAAAAGAGCGTGCCCGACGCCGAAGATACCTTCCACCGTTTCCTTCTGCACAACTGGCCTTCCATCGGTCGATTTGTTGGTGGGCATTGGCTCCACACATTTCCGAA